GTAAAATGTTTAAATGTTGTTTATTCTCATATTATATCATTTCACGATGACTACTGTTTATGATATTATTGTTAACAGAGTTCAGGGCATCATTATTAATCAAATTCAAAGTGATGTCATTAATATAGAATGTCCAAAAAAACAGGATTATGTAAAGATGTTTCGCGGTCTTGGTTGTGTGCCAATTCGTTCATTGGATGTGGATTCTTTTTTCACATTTGTGGTTGTTTTAAGAGCCATCCATTTAGAAATCAACTTGTGCAAGCGTTGAGATTGGTGCTTCTATATATGGTTCAACACATATTAAAGGAGGATATGACGGAGATTCTTATGGACTATATTTATATATGCCCAGGAAAATATTGTGTGGAGGTTCCAATCTATTTTACCTCACCTATATATGAACAATATATAGATACTTTTGATACCATGATTGTTTTGAGAGTACCGAGGGACATGTTTAATTCAACAAAACTTAAACATTCAGTGGTTGTTCAAATTAACAATAAACTTTATGGAATACAGATGGTACAACCATATTATAAAGAGATACGGGATAAAGTTAAAACTCTCTATAATGATATGACTCGTTCAGATATTAATTTTACTGCTCCAGGTTATGTTATTGTACAAGGTTCATCATTTAAAATTTTTTTGTTATGTAATAATGTTGAGAATGAGTTGCATAGAATGTTATGTTTTAGATATACTAAAAGATATGATAGATTAGTAAGGGTATCTTTGAGTTGGTATTTTTCAACCCAATTTGGTTGTGATGTACATAATATACGTTTTTAAAAATACATGTGTTATATAAATAGAATGCGTGTTTTTATATATACATAAAGTCTATGTTTTTATTGTATTTGGTTATTATGTCATAATGAACATGGAGGTTGTATTAAACAAGATTCAAGATGTTATACTTTATAATAAAGAACCTACTGCAAGGGATATTAAGAGTATACTTGCGTCTTTGCAAATTTATATACGACCATTGGATATCGATTCTCTTCTTTGTTTTGTACGTGTTATAAGAGTTCATCCGTTAAGATTCGCGTTAGTACAAGCGTTGAGATTGGCGTTGAGATACTTGGTTTATCATATGTATAGCACAGACGTACGCAAGATTTTTATGGAGTATGTGAATATTCCCCCCGGGAAATATTGTATTGAGATACCTATTTATTTTACAACTCATGAGGCTTCCTTATTTAAAGAATACGCTAATATGTGGAGACATAAATTGGTTTTGAGATTGCCGACGGGGATGTATGATTGCAAAATTATTGTTCAAATTGATGAGTGTCTTTATGGTGTATGTTTAAAGAATCAAAGTTATAAATCTATACGGGATGGGGTTAAGAGTGTTTATATTAATGTTATGGCAGAGAGTATGAATTTTGTTACACAGGGCGTACAATCGCTCGGTTTTTTTACAGCATATAAGGTTTGTGACGGTTTTGATAATACATTGAAGGATATGGTGATTTTTAAAGAACCGAAAAGATGGGATAGAGTGGCCAGACTTATATTAAGGGATATATTTGATGGTCCCTTTTTTAACTCCGAGATATTTATGGACTTGGATTAAGATAAACAAACTAACGCACTTTTAATAAAGTAGTATATTTATGAAAAAGTTGTAAAATACAAATACAAATGTAAAATTGTTTATAAATAACGTTCGTAATATAACCAATTATTTAAAATTTGCAGTTCTGACTTTGGGCAATGTTCATATGCATTATTACATGGTAGGTGATTTCCACATGTCTTTATTATATTGTTTTTTTCATCGTCATTTAAGAATGGATTTGCCTGTATCCATGGAGCATGCTGTGCTGGTTTTGGTGCTCCGAAGATTTCCAAGTTAACGCTCGGTATATTTAATTTAGTCAACAATTCTTTCTCGATTATTCTGCCTTTATAACCAATACAACTTTGTCTGTTGATTCGGGCGCTTGAATAGAATGTGGCGACGATGTTTTCAATTTCGTTTGCTTTATGCATTGTGGCGTTAGACGGACCATTATATGGCAGCTTGTGTATGTTATTTGTTAGACAATGTTTTTTGTCTTTCTCGCTTAGGTGTTTCCATTCGATAGGAATATTGAATAGGTATGACAATGCCTCAGTCTCGCCAAAGAAACACATAGCTTCGGTTTGATTATTTAAATTCAATCAGGCGCGGATCCAGCCGAAAATCTGACCGTGTCATATTGGACTAGAAATTTTCCGGTCAGGGGGGGGGGGTGGGCGTATAGCGAAGGGGCTATGGACCCTCCGAAACAAACATTTTCTAAGCTTTGGTTCTACAATATTCTTCGAATTCAGGGAACGTTTAAAAGCGAATAAAGGTCAAACGCCAAAAAGGTCAAAAAGGTCAGACCGGTCATATTTTAAATTGAAATAGAGTATTTCGTTAAGAATATAGCGGTGAAACTGCATTTCCCGTGTTAGGCAGATGTAAATAACAATATACTTTTGTCTGTACCGACTACCGAAATACAACAGAACCGGTCTGGCCGTTTTTCCGTATAAAGGAGAGCGCCCATAGTTCGGATTAAAACCTAAAAGTCTTACCTTACAAGGACATTGGGTAAAGATTTTCAGTATTTGTCTCTTGGGAAATAGCAGTTTAAAAATTGTCGTTGCAATTGTAAACGCGAGCGAGCGAGCGAAGCCTGTCTTTAGTAATAATTCCATCATGTTGTAGCCTGAAGAGCAATATTTCCCCTGAAATATGCTCGCTTAGATTTGCTTTTGAGAAATTTCGACGGATTCATGTATTAATGCATTCGATTCAGCCTGAATCAGCCAGGATGCAGCGAACAGACCAATTTAACGTGTTATGTATAAACTATATCCGAGTTCGAAGTCGAGAAGTGTCGAACTTTATTGTTTATCATGTTTATTGCACAATCAAAAACAGGCCACCGTGTCGCACCGTGTCGCACCGTGGCTCACGTGGCAAAAGCTTGCCCTGTGATTGGTTTGCTACACTGCACCGTGTCCGAGCGTTACTATATTTAGTAACAATTGCGCAATAATCTGCACGCTGACCGTGTCAACTAGTTGCTGTGATCGCAGCTTCGAATGCACGACTAGCTTCCGAACATACTCGGCACAATTCGGCAAGCTTTCGGCGAATTTTATAGTTCAGTGTTAACTGAACATTCGTAATATGAAACAAGGAATAATAATTGGGAATTTGTTCCCACTTTTAGCAGGAATTGGTAATAATATGACAACGATTACGAAAGATATTACTCAAATTATTTGTTTTAGACATATATTTCCTTAATTTTGGTGTGATTCAAAGAATTAATATGTACTTCTAAATAATGTGTGAATATTAGATTGCAGATGGGAAAATTCTGGATGCGAAAATCTGACCGTGGTACGGTCTAGATCCGCGCCTGTCAATAGACCTAATTCTTTGCAGTAGAACTTTTTATTGATGCGAAATCCGTCCATGTCCATTATCCCGACTAGTTTTTCCATGGCGATAAAAGAGTGTTTGATTTTTAGGATAGATATTCAGTCTTTTTATAGGCTAACATATACAGAAAACGTTCTAAAACGAGTCCTTAGACGTCCGACCGTTAATGTACGCATGCGATTGGTTGTTTTAGTTATCCTTAGGTTATCCTTGCGTTAGCTATAAAAGGCGACAGTCGGAGATTTTAATTCATATCGCCATGGGTCGCAAGAAGAGTTTAATAAGCAAAAACGAGAGAGAGAAAATAAGAAAGAAAAAAGTAAAAGACGAGGAAAAGTTTAATAAGCCTTTGAGTGTTTGGATAAAAAGAAAGTATCCTCAAATTTTTTTTGAGTATTCAAAAGTTTTTCGTGAGGTGACGAAAATGAATCCGCAAGTAAACGATATTACAAAAACTATGGATTGGCAACTGAATTTCTTTAGTGATGGCACTATAGATATGACCTCGTTGAATAATTCAGTAGACGAGGTGAATGACATCATGACTATTGAGGATCAGATTCGGGAGGAAATTCAGCACTTGAAGAAAGATCTAAACAGCCTTGAAAACGGCGAGACGGCGAAAGTTAAGACAGCAGCGGCGGAGATCGAATCGTCAACTACCCGAGGCGAGACGGCGATTGAACAAAGTAATACAAGCAATACCCTTTGTTTTGACGAGTCCGACTTTGTCTTGGCATTACCCGATTTACCCGAGAGCGACAGCAGACAAACGCAAACAACAATAACAAACGCGGAGGACCCATTCGAGGATATAAAAAAGTATATCGAGGACTTAGATTTTGAGTGTTTCGGTGATGATGGTAATTTTGAGGATGATGATATGGATTTTTAAAAGTAAAGACATTTTACTACTGTTAAAACATAAACATTTTAATATTGTTTTATTGTTGTATTATTGAAAAATATATATTTGAAAAAGATATATTGTTATTGTTATTGTTATTACTACTATTATTCGGGTTTTTCCCTTTCTTTATTTTATTACATCATTGGTTTTGAGTTGGGGATTTCCCTTTTTCTGTTTTACTGCGTCATTAATAAATTAGAGAGGGTCAGGGTTTTTTACTACTCGTATTCTCGCCAAATTATCTTCACAGCAGAAGGGTTGTTTCTGTGAGGTAGATAGGAATTTTTCGATTCCTTTTTCATAAAGAAAGCCGTCTTCTTCTGAGCAGATAAGTTTGCAATTATCTACTTGATCACAGATCCAAAACTTTCCGTTCTTGGAGACTATAGCTTCTTTCTCATGTAAACACTTCATTTTGAGGTAATGGACTGACTTGTCTCCTTATATTTATACTTTTTCAGTGCACGAGTTTTTTAAAATTAACACGTTTTAAGAATAAAAAGCATGTGCACTGAGATTAAAACACGTGTGGATAAGTAAAAACACTCAAACTAAAATAAAAGCAAGTTCAATAAAATATAAGCACGTGTTAGTTATGTATATAAGTAGAGCGATTGACGTTTCACCACAATTTTATCGTGGGGGATGGAGGACGATTTGCAAAGGGAGATTGACAAATTTAATAATAGTGACGATGAATGGATTTGGGAGATAGATGATGATGCAATTTTTTATTCGGATAAAAGTTTTTTGCGTTTAATTGATGATGATGATGATGATGATGATGATTGGATTTGGGAGATAGATGATATACAAGTTGGTTCGGGTGGACGAAAACGAGATTTTGATGAGATGAATAATGATGAACAAATTGGAGGACAAGATAATGTAAACGAGGGGGCTAGTACAAGTACGAATACGGGACAGAACAAAACGAACAATGTTTCTAATTATGTAATAGAGAAGATTAATGAGATTAAATCAAAGAAGTTTAAAACTAAAGGTATTGATTACAGAGTTCGTTTTAGTAATGAGAATGAAGAACTCAATATTATTCAGGAGTATGAACGCACACAGGAAATCTTTGAACAATTAATTAACGACATTACTAATGGAATGAAAGAGAACGATCAAGTACATTTTGTTTTACGTACACCTCAATTAAGTAAACCTATATCATTACCATTTATGCAAGTTTCTCGTTTTACTCCTGAGAGGATTTTTTCTCAGGTTGAACGTGTGGTACAATCCAATCAACATTTCAATTTAAATGATACGGTAATTGCAGATATTGTTCATGTTGAGATGCCATCGGGGTCAGGAAATTTTAAACGAAACCATATTAAACTTTATAAACATCTAGAAGCAAAAAAGTCGGTGGTTGTTATAAAGAATAATGATAATTTATGTCTTGCTACAACATATAACATGTATCGGTCATGGGTCATCGGTATGTGTTGATAGTCAAATAGTAGCATTTTTCTTATATATAGTCAATAAGTTATCGTCAGACAAGTTCGTGAAGTATATTTAAATAAAATAACAAGAAACTTACTGCTTCTAATGGTTGTTTATCATCTCCATCATCTAAGCGATCACTCCTCTTGCCATTTCTTTGCCCCCTTCCTCTTGAAGGTGTCTGTGTTGTGCCAGTGCTTAGATAATTTTCATTCAACCTCACAAAGGCAATTATAATCATCTGTTGGATGGAACAAGTATGTGAGGATCATGCTACAATAATTTTGTTTTGGCTGAAAAAAAACTTATGCAACCTTGAACTTTTACAAGTGTAATGATAGCTGGAAGTGTGGTGGCAATTGTATTGTTATAAAAAATATAATTTTTTTAGGGATGCAGTATAATAGAGCTACATTCAGATATCCTAATTGAGAATTTTGTATAAAATAAATTTAATAAACTTTATAAAACAGATCATCAACACAGCACCTTCTAGATCGGTAGAAATCAAAGTTTCTAAACATGGCAAATTTATGATCATTATGCAAGCTTCTATATATAACACATCCTGTGCGTGGAATGTGCGCCAAATTTAAATAAATAAACCGGTAGTAAAACGACAGGCTGACGCCATTGCCATGACCAGCTATATAGAATAACATAATATACAGCTGTAGTTGAATTATTTTCCGTCTATTCAAACAAATAATTGCATATATCTATAGATTTCATCGCGTTAATATTAACATAAGAATACATAACACACTTTCAATAATCTTTCAAAGACTATAACAGAATATGCGCTAAAGTCAAGCTTGCCAGGGAATTAAAGCTTACCTTACATAGCTACATAAAGTCAAACTTACCATGGAATTTTAGGACTCGAGCAGCGTAGGTTTTAGTTGCGCATCCTAAATCCAGCGGGAACTTTCCATGCTTGTTAGCCCATTTTGAATAGTCCTTCGGCTGTACTGGCCAACGTACTAGGATTTCCTTCTTCATGACCCAATCGTTGTTGTTAAAGGAAGACTCATCCTCGCTTATCATCCAATGACTTTCCCCCACATCACAGCTACTGTCTTCACAAAACTCGTACATGGCAAATTTCATCGTCATTTGGCAAAAATATTGCTTTAAAGTTGAACTTTTTTATCGTAAATATAAAGGCAATCGAAAGACGCTGAAGTATTGAATGTCAAGTGTCAACTGTCAACGCAAATTACGCATGTGGGCCATGTGGCATGCATGGAGTGCTGGGAAATGTAAATGAGGTCATACATGAAGACATTGATTGGTCACAATCGACGCGTTGCCATGGGAATATCCAATCTGAAATACTGATCTGATTAGTTAATGACCACACTGCCACAATAACACAACGAAAAATTCCACAACAATACTGCTACTGCTCTGAAAGATATTTTATGTTTGTATGGCGGAAACCTTAATTATTTCTTAAAAGTCTTTAAAATGCCTCATAGGGGCCCATACAAACAATACGAAGTAGATTCAAGTATTGCAGTTCCAAAATCTACTTTACATGACAGGCGTAAACGGCGTTTAGTAGAGGTTAATATTGATGATCATGTCGAAACTCATCCTGATCCTTTGGCTTTGAATAATGAACAAGTATATTTCGATGATTACGATTTGCAGGTACAAGCTTCACTGATATATATTTAGCGTTTATGTAAGAATGTTCTTGTTCAAGTTTACTTTGTGAACAGGGTTAATAAAAGTCTAATAATTTAAACCCTTTATAATTTTTACAGGATAACCATGCTCCTGACCCTGAATTAAATGAGACAGAGGCCCATGAACCCCAGGGGGAGGACCGTGATAATATATTTGATGAGCCAGAAACTGGAACAAATATGCAGGTACATATATGCATGGTTGTTCTAATTTTACACTTGTCAAAACATCACTTCACCTCTATTAGTCAAAATGTTTTATTAATATTTTTAAGGCAAGTCAAATTTATGTGTGAATATACTTTGACTGAGTTTTAAACCTGGGTGACATATAGCTGGCTATATATTTCAGTGTACCTTGTGGTGTACTCTGGTGTATCCACTCCTGAAGTCAAGCTTAAAATTTAAACAGTTTGTTCTTGGATTTTTTGACCTGGGCTTGAAATGAGCCTGGGGCTGAGCATTTTCACATGGGGATGTTTCGACTCCAGTGAACTCAAATAAGACTGGAAACCCTCACATACCTACAAGCATGTTCTGCCATCTTGAGTCAGAGAGTGAGCATTCCAGTCTTATTTGAGTTCATTTTTTTACTCTGGCTTGTTTTGACATTGCTTGAGATGTATTGACCTGGGGATGTTTTATACACATTGAAATGTTGATATGTATAAGTCTTTTTTATGTCCCTAAATGATATTGTCACACAGTTTAGTTACAAGCTAGTGATGATCAGCATTTTCGAATTGATACCATACCACTTCGATACTAGTATCAATACCAAATTTTGATACCGTGGGGATTTATTATGAGTAGTATAATTACGAGCTGATCAGTTCTTGCCTATTTAGGCTGCTAGTCTATTAATCTCTCGGTTTAAGCGTTTGGTGAGACAACTTTAATTGAATTAGCCTTTGTTTATCTTTTTCCTTATTTAGCAAGAAGGCTTACTGAATGAAAACCCTCCTTATCAAGGATCTAATGTTACTACAGCACAATGTCTCCTTCTCGTAATGTCGTATGTAATCAGACATCATCTTACACATGAGGCACTACAAGATCTGTTGGTTCTGTTGAATGTTCTTTTACCAGATTCTATACCAGCAACGAAATATAAGTTCTTCAAAGCATTTAATTGTGGTTTATTTCAGGTAAAATATCTACATATATATATATATATATATGGTTCTGACACATGTCTATATGGATTACTGTATTTATACCGCCAATGAGATCTTTGCCCCATGTATACCTAAAGCCGGTTTTTCAAAGAGCTCTGGGTTAGCTTGTCCCCAGGTTAACTTAAAAAATTAAAAGTAAACTTTCTGACAGCCTTTTTATAAATAGCAGTTTACTTCTCTGAAGTTTTTTTTAAAAAATAAACAGAGGTGTTAAAATATGCTTTATTCAAAGTAAAATATCACTGGAGTTAAACATAAAAGTGAAATAATATATAGTAGGGCACATAAATAGTACTGGTTCAGTTAAACTAATTGTTGACCGATGACTGGACTAACATAGCAGTAGATACTAATACTCTAGTTTAACCTACATGGGTATTTTGGGGACCTGAGGCGGTCTTTGGTTAATTATTCAACATTTTTGCTTCACAATCACTACATCAGGATTCATGTAAAGATGGCCTTTTCCCAAAATACCACTAAATTGCTTTTCATTTTTCAGATTCACTTCTATTGTCCAATGTGTTTGTTTTACCTTGGTGAAAGCAGAGTGGAAAGAAATTGTGAATCTTGTGGGGAACTATTTAATGTTGATGAGTGTACCAAGAACGGCAACTATTTCTTATATCTACCCATGAAACGTCAGATTGAAGACTTGCTTGGTGAGGAAAAATTAAGACAACATTTAATGAACCGTCTCACTAGGAACAAAAATTCCACGGGTGTCATCTCTGACATAACATCTGCAGAACTATATGGCAAGTTAGCAGAGAATCATAACTTTTCTGGCAGTCATGATTTATCACTAACCTGGAACACAGACGGAATTCCTGTCTTTGAATCGTCTAATTATGCAATTTGGCCAGTGCAAAGTGCAATTAACGAGCTGCCTCCTCACTTACGAGAGAAGCACATCCTTCTGCATGGACTCTGGTTTGGAACAACAAAACCAGCTATGAACACTTTTCTTAAGCCATTTATTGAAGAATGCAAATCCCTTGAGACAGTTGGTCTTAAATTTGAAAATGATGGACAGCAAGTTAAGGTTTTTGCGCACATTCTCAGTGCCGATTCACCAGCAAGAGCCATTGTCAAAAACTGTAAACAGTTCAATGGTAAACATGGATGCGACTGGTGTGAGTTTCCCGGTGAAACTATTGATAATGGTGGTCCGCCAACCAGATATTATCCTTACAGAGGCCCTCCAAAGATGCGAACAGCTGAAAAGCAAGTTGAATATGGTCTTCGAGCAATCCAAAAAGGCGAGGATGTCAAGGGAGTCAAAGGACCATCCGTTGTTGGAATTCTTCCTTCTTTCGACCAAGTTCGGGGTAAAGTATACTTAATTATTTCCCAAAAGTTCTTCCAGGGGTCTGTGCGTCTAGTAAGCGTCAGTTACGCCATAGATAACTGGTAAATTAAAATTATACTGTACATGTTTTTCTTCTTTTGGTAGATGTGATTTTGATTGCGTTCTTTTGTTGCCCAATAGTCTTGCCCAATTTAGGGACCCCTTGCCAAGTAGGGTATTTGCCCGCGGGTGCCTCGATAAAGCATGCATTGAGCATTATGTTTTGTGGACTGGCACAGAACAAACTTTGTTAACTCTTTAAAAATATTGTATTGCAGGGGTTGCTGTTGACTTCATGCATTGTGTCTGTTTGGGTGTCACCCGTCAGTTTGTAAACATGTGGATGGATAGTCGACAGCATGAGAAAAGTTTCTACATTGGTAGAAGTGAAGAAGAGATCAATGCCCGACTATATTCTATTGAAGTTCCTGGGGAAATGAGCCGTGCACCGAGGTCGATTAGTGATAGAAATCACTGGAAAGCATCAGAGTGGAGAGGCTTCATTTTCTACAGTCTCGTTATACTCCGTGGCATACTTCCATCAACACATCTAAAGCATTTCTTCTTGTTTGTTTATGGTGTGTACTCTCTCCTTGGTGATTCCATCACGGAAAATGATATCAATTCTGCAGAAGGTTGTTTAACAAAGTTTGTTATTGAAGTTGAGAAATTGTATGGCTTGAAATATTGTACATTCAACGTGCATCAGTTGATCCATCTTGCTCAGTCAGTTCGAGATTGTGGCCCTCTTTGGTCTTCTGCAGCGTTTATTTTTGAGTC